TGAATTGCAAGAAAAAATTTTATTGGTAAGAGTTTGGTAAAGTTGAAATTTTGCATTTTTTTATTAAATATTTATGCTTTTTTTTTTGTCAAATTTATTTATAAGTTGACTTTCTTTTCTACACTTTTACGAACTATTAAATGAAAATTCTCAAGCATATCCAGTTATTACTCATTTTTAAACATGTGTATTCTGTATTTTTCTATTAATTATCTCAATTTTTTTATGATAATTATTAATGCCATCTAAATAAGTTAGATTCTTTTATATAATTAAAAAGTATACATTGAATTTGGAATGCTTAAATAATAAAAGTTATCGAATTGACTTTTTTTAATATAGTTAATGATTTAATTGGAACTAAGACTCTAAACCCTAATAAAAATTGGTTGAATTGATTTATTGTTAAATGAATGGGTTGTTGACATGGTTATGAGCTTTGCTAGACGATTGCTTTAATTAACTTTGTGTTATAGTATTTAAGTTCATTTTTTTTTAACAAGTATTTTGGGTACGGAAAGGTGCCAAAGGACACTCCGGATGTCTTGTAGTAAAAGATTTTGGTGTGAATATAGAATGAGGACATAAAATTACTAATTTATTAAGCAATGACGAATGATTTAAATAATTCTATGATAACTTTTCTTCTTAAACATATTGAACCTAATTTATGGTTTGCTATTCCATCAATCTTGACCTTAGCCTAAAAATTTTTATATGCATATTGATATATATCCTACAACTTATAGTATTATTATAGACAAAAATTACAAAGGGTCATATACATTAGCAATTCACCTAATTTATTTTAATTGGATTTGTTGAAACATCTCTTTCACAGTGCTACTAATAATCTATTTAAATCCTTTCACCAATTTTAAACGTATATCACTTTATTTTACCGATTTTTAAAGAAATGCAACATCTAATATTATAATTATAAGTCTAACTTTTATATTGCCAGTATTAGAAAAAAATGGTGAATTAAGAGTTGAAAATTATAAATATTTTGATTTTGATAATTGTATTTGATAAAGATAACTACAAGAAAAATATTGTCTACCAAAACAAGAATTTATGAAAATTAAATTACTACTACTATTAAAAAAAATTATTTTAGGATAAAACCATTTATGGATAGACAAAAAAGTTTCAACATTTTTTGTGAAAAAAAAATTTAATTATTGAATTGAAAGTGGGTTGATAAAATATTTAAAATCTAATATCATAAAAAATCTACTCTTATAAAAAGCTATATAATTACTTCGTATATCTAATTTTAGATATCTTAATCTATTCACACATGTCATGCATAATCAAATTATTGTTATATTCGTAAGTACATGATCTCCGCACTATTTTTTTTTTTTGTTTTCCATTTCCTTTTATCCAAATTACCCTTCTCCACCCAACTCAATTTTTTTATCATTCAACACACCCCATTGTTTTAAACAGACAAAACCATGATTTTGAGATTTCAATTAAACTTAGAATCGTCAAATCAAAAATTAATAAAAATTAATATCGTTTTTGCAAAAACCGAATATCTATGATTAAAGTAGTGACATAATCATTTTTGCACTGCAAATGTGCATATTTTTTAACAATTAAAAAAAAGGGTATGATCTTATGCAATCACACATTCTATCACGATCAAATCAAAGCCGTCCAATGCTTTGATCTAAAGGTTGTAATTTAAGACCCGTTCCCTTCATTACGTTCAAAATCATTGATGACACTAAAACTTTCATAGTCACCTGTTGCAAATCGAGGGCAATTGATGACATTTTAAATATGTAATTTTGAAATAATTAATTGAATGAAATAAAATTAAAAATAAACTTAAGAGTAATTTTATGTTTAGTAATAAAATAGTTTTATGTATAATGTGTTTTTAACGTATTCGACAAAAAAAAAAGGAGAGATTTTGAAATAAAATAAACAATAATAATGAAATTAATTCGATTTGATTTGATTTGATAAATTAAATTTTAGTTTATATGATCATTTATTGATATTATTAAAATCCACATATTAAATGTACATGCATACATAACTTAAAAAGGTAGAGCCAATAAATTATATTTTAATATGTTGAAACGTGTATAATTTTAGTAAATTTATTTTAAGAGTTGAATATTTATAATTGAAAAAAAAATACAAAATTATTTTATTTATTAACAACGGAAAAAAGTTTTATTACTTTTAATATGAATTTTAATTGAAAGTAATTTAAAATAAATATTATAAAGAAAATATAATCAATTTATTTTTAAATTAAAAATACATCAAATAAAATAGAATTCATTTATTAGACGATACATTAAAAATTTTTAAAATTATGCACATATCGGATAATAGAAATCGTTCACATTGAATATTTTAATTTTTATAAAATATTTTAACTTTTATATCTTTATATAAATGTTAATTATGGAAATTAATAATTTTTTAATAAATAATTATTATGATGTGACTATAATACAGTAAAATTAATTTGTATTAGTTAAAATTTTTTATTTTTTATAAGTTTTATTTGGCTTTTTAAATATATTTTGTATGATTTTTATATAATAAATTTATATAATGAGTTTATATTTAATGTTTTGATAGTACATAAATTTATACATCGTACCATGTTTGATGAAGTCAATTTCTTAATAAATAAATAACAATTTCTAAAATAAATATAAAAATTTATATCTTTTAAAAAAATTTAATTATTAATGAGACGAGATAATATGATTTAGGTCATCAATAAAATAATTTATAAAATCTATACAACACATCAAATATAATCTTTGTATAATTATAAAAAAGTCTCAATCATTCACAAAATTTCATACATATTATGAATAAATTAGTAATTAATTTAATAATATTGTCTTATTAACCTGAAGTTTTTAAAAAATTATTGTCATCTAATCTAAATTGACAAGTGGACGGTGGAGACGTGGTTAAAGCAGCGTATCGTGTAAGCCGCGATGCAGAGGACATAAATTAAGGCAAGACAAAGGACGGATGGTCCTGGAGGTTTATTTCAGTCTGTTTATAGTTTTTTCGTGTGAGAGGAAAAAACAAGAAAGGAGATTTGTATTTGACAGTGCCTTTTGAGTTTTAGGGTTTCTATCTTTCATTTGCTCTCCAAATTTCAGGTATTTTTTTTTTTCTGTGAAACCTGTTTGGTTCAGTGTTTTGTCTCGTGTTTTTCTTCTTTGGACTTTTTTTACGGGTTTTGATGTATTTTTGAAAGGTCCTCTGTTTTTGAAAAATTTTAAGCGTTGTAGTTTGCAATGCTGCTTCAGTAGGTGGCTTTTTTCAAGGATTTTCTTCTTTTTTGAGTATCATCTGCGCTTCGTTCCATTTTTTGTTTCTACTTTTTTCAATAAACACTTCAAGTTTTGCAACTTTTTAGCTGTTTTTTTTTTTTTTTTTTTTCTATTTTTAAGCGACTGTAGTTTTTTCGTCGGTGTTAGAGCACATTTCTATTTGAGAGATGTATACCTTTCGTAACCTTTGTTATTTTATTTTATTATTCAGTTCTTTTATAGTAAAAAAGGTTTCTTTTTTGTCATCTTGTAATCAAGCCATTTAGGAAGTTGTTACATTTTTGCTTCAGTTGGATTTTTAACTCCGTTTAAAAGTTTTTTGTCGCTTCATTTACTCTTTCTCTGCAGTTATAGTCTTTTACTGTCTCTTGATGTGCTAAAGGTATTTACGTTTTGGTATTTTTTCGTTCTATCCCTTAAATGATGCAATATATTTGGTTAAGTTTTGACTTTTATGCTAAAAACAGCACCTTTTTGCCTCTTCATGTTAACCGTTTTAGTGCATAGCAGCATTAGTGCCTCTGGTTCAAGCTCATATTCTTAAAGGTTCCCTTTTTTTTTTTTGTACTCTAAGGGTTTCTTTTTCTTTTTCTTTTTTTTTTTCCTTTGTGCTTATCTCTCTATTTTTTTTCTTGTGTAAGTTCCAGCATCATCAACATACGCTTTTTTTTTTTTTTTTTTTTGCTATAGATCCTCTGATGTTTAGGTAATATTTGTATCCTTTGTAAACACGTCTTTAATATGCATGCATGTGGTTTCTTAAGCATTTTGTTAGGAAAAAAAAAATCTCATTTTTAAATATTATATAGTTTTGGTGCCTTGGCTTTGTTTCTTTTTGGCGTACGAGCATGTTGACTTTGTTTTCCTTAGTGGCGTACGAGTATATTGCTAGAAAAAAAAAATCACGTTTTGAGTATATTGTTAGAAAAATTTTATTTTGTTGTTTACTTTGCCAAGAGAATACATCATGCAAAAATATAACACGAACACAAAACGAATAAAAGGGATACGAAATAGGATACTAATAAAAACATGAAAGAAATATAATTTATAATTTTAATAATAATTATATATATATATGGATTTAACAAAATTAAAAATATATATTTTATATTTTATCATCTATATTAATTGTGGCACGTAATTTCGTATAAAATATAATATTAATACATTAAATTTATAATTTAAATGACACAAATACAAAAATCCACAATCTAAATTTTAAATCATTATTTATTCACTAAATTCCCTTAATCTCTATGTCTATATTTCTCAAAAGGAAATGGATATATTTTTGTTGATTTCTCTTAGGATATTTCAAATAACAAAAAAAAAAAAAAAAAACAATCCTATAAAATAAAACCATATAAACAGACACTATATAGTTTAAGAGAACTAGATACTAAGTTGTATAGATTGACGAGTTTTAAGATTGTGATATGTCAAGGGTAATTGCTACTAATTTTTTCTTTTTTGTTGAAAATAACTAATTTATCAACTTAAAAGTGGGAATTACTTTTTTCTGCATGAAATGGTTATAGTTAATCTTTTTCTGCATGAAATGATACTGTTACGTACCTACTTTTTGTGGAATTTCTGTTGTAGCTAATCTTAAATGCTTACTAGTATTTTTATTTTCTTTCACGTAAGAAAAATTTTCTTGGTTAGGAAATGGACTCGTCTGAGAAAGAGGGAAGCGGGGCAACGGGCTCTCTTCCTCCTCCCCCGCCTCTGCCTCCCAATGTGGCACCAATCAAAGCAGAATATGAACCTGCAAAGAAGGTTTTACGTGTCCCAATGGCCAGGAAAGGTCTTGGATCTAAAGGGCAGAAGATATCTATTCTCACAAATCACTTCAAAGTGAATGTTGGAACTGTTGATGGGCATTTCTTCCACTACAGTGTATGTAATTGCTTACTTCGCTCTGCTTATCTTTTTTTCTCATTGGTAAATAGAAATTATTGATGCAAGTTTCTTCTTCTTTTGCAATTTGGTTCAACAGGTTTCTCTTTCTTATGAAGATGGTCGCCCAGTGGTTGGGAAGGGTGTTGGAAGAAAGGTGATGGATAAGTTGCATGAGACCTACAGCAGTGAGTTGGCTGGAAAGGACTTTGCGTATGATGGGGAGAAGAGTTTATTTACTGTTGGTCCTCTCCCAAGTACCAAGCTTGAGTTTCCTGTTGTGCTTGAGGATGTTACATCCGACAGGTTGACGTGCACTTTAGATTGATTTGCAGTATTTACACTGCTCCCATTCATTGTTTCTAATTTTTTAAGTATGTATGGAAACAATAGGAGTGCAAGCCCTGATGGCAATGAAAGCCAAAAAGAGCGTGAAAGGAAGATATTAGGACGTATGCACCCGCCAAAGACATTTAACGTGGAGATTAGCTTTGCCGCAAAGATTCCCATGCAAGCCATTCAAAATGCTCTGCGTGGACAGGAATCAGGAAACTCACAAGAAGCCCTGAGGGTGCTGGATATCATTTTACGGCAGCATGCTGCAAAACGGTGAGTTAAAATATGTGCCTGAGTATTCTTTTCTCCACTTTTAGGTTTTGATCCCGGATATTATATTTATTCTGACATTACGTTCACTTACGTAGGGGATGCCTACTTGTTCGCCAGTCTTTTTTCCAAGATGATGAAAATAATTATACAAACATTGGCCGTGGTGTCCTAGGTTGCAGGGGATTCCATTCAAGTTTCAGAGCTACTCAAGGAGGCCTTTCCCTGAATATTGGTTGGAACCTCATCTCTCAGCACTTACGCATTTGTGTGCTTTGTATTGTTTGTATAATTACTATTTCTCTTTGTGTTTCAGACGTATCAACTACAGTGATATTTCAACCTGGTCCAGTATTGGATTTTTTACTTGAGAATCAGAATATGAGAGATCCTCAGTACCTGGACTGGAGCAAGGTTATCAATAACTACATTTTTTTGCCAAGCGAATTTGAGTTCTTTGCATCAATTATTAATTACTAAACCGCAATTGCTTGAAACCCTGAATAGGCTAAACGAGTGCTTAAAAATCTGAGGGTAGAAGTCAGACCATCCAATCTGGAGTACAAGATTACCGGATTGAGTGACCTTTGCTGCAAAGATCAGATGTATGATTTCCCGGTCTCACAATAGTGCTTTTTCTTTGATTGGTGCTAAATTGGCTACTATTTAACTTTGAGCTTTTCCTACTTGCCTGTTGTGTAATACTTCAGTTTAAAGTTATTGTTTCTTATTTGTTGTGTGCTGTGTCCATGATGCAGGTTCTCATGGAAGCAGAAAAGTACGAAGAATGAGAATGGTGAAGCTGAGACCGTGGAGATTACTGTTTATGAATATTTTGTCACCCATCGCAAGATACAGTTGGCTTATTCTGCAGATTTGCCATGCATTAATGTTGGCAAGCCAAAGCGGCCAACATATATTCCTTTGGAGGTGAATGAGTGCATTGTGGCTTTGTTTTGTTACATGATATATGCTTAGCAACTAATTCTTGTCTATGATTTGTTGTGCACCTGTTGCAATGCCATAGCTGTGCACTTTGGTGTCGTTGCAACGCTACACAAAAGCGCTATCCACTTTCCAAAGAGCTTCGCTGGTCGAAAAATCAAGGCAGAAGCCTCAAGAAAGAATGAGGCTCTTGTCTATTGTAGGTCTATTATAAACTTCTGACTCTCAGCATTTCACTTGTTCTATAACTTATGAGTGTTGCATATTTTTGCGCAGGCTTTACATAACAGTAATTACGGTGCTGAACCAGTGCTGCGTTCATGTGGTGTTTCTATCAGCTCTAATTTCACCCGAGTGGAAGGCCGTATTCTGCCTCCTCCGGGGGTAGGTTAATGATGAATTTTGTTTCTTTCTTTGATATATGGAACGTGTATGTTGGTTGTTGAGGGTTAATTTAATGATCCTTCTTTTCGATGTACATGCTAATTGAGTTATCTTTTGATGACAGATAATAACGGGCGATGGTAAAGCTTTCGCGCCTAAGAATGGGCGATGGAATTTCAACAATAAGGTCTATAGCTTCTTTGCTTTTGCAGCCTTCTATCTTATATATGTTTCATCTCTTGTTTCTCAACAGTTCAGTTATGCTTTCATAGAGATTTGTGGAGCCAACTAGGATTGAAAGTTGGGGTGTTGTTAACTTCTGGCCACGTTGTGATGTAAGTCGACTTGTGTTGGATCTGATGAGATGCGGAGAAATGAAAGGAATGGTAAGTTTGTTGTCTAATTTTTGTTTTGGTTGTATTGGTATTGTCAATCAGCACATACAAAGTTATAGAATTCAACTTGTTGGCTTAAGTTCTTTTCCATGTCTCTTTTTCAGCATGTAGATAGACCATTTGGTGTGTACACAGAGAAGAATGAGAACGGACGTCTCTCTCCTGTGGGTAGAGTGGATAAGATGTTTGATGAGATGAAATCTGAAAGTAATGTCTCTCCACGGTTCCTTCTTTGTGTGCTGCCTAACAGGAAAAATTCTGATCTTTATGGTGTGCACAAACTCATCTGTTCATACGTTGTCTATGCGTGTTTTCCTGGAAGTCTTTTGCTTACGTAGTAAGTTCAACGAATTTTCTAAGGTCCATGGAAGCGAAAGAATCTTGCCGACTCTGGCATAGTCACTCAGTGTATGGCTCCAACTAAGTTCACTGATCAGTACCTTACGAATCTGCTTCTCAAGATTAATGCAAAGGTCTGCTTCTGTCCAACGATTTCTTTTTTCTTTTTTTTTTAACTTAAGCCATTCCTCTGGTTGCAGTTCTAATCTTCTGTAGTTAAACCATTAAGGTTATTGTTCTATTTATAATTAAACCTGCTAATATCATAATCTGCTCGCAGCTTGGAGGACTGAATTCAATGTTAACAATCCAACAACCACGTCCATTCCCTGTTGTTTCAAGGGTTCCAACTCCAAGTTCTATGATCCCTGTTGTTTCAAGGGTTCCAACCATGATCCTTGGTATGGATGTGTCACATGGCTCTCCTGGGCAGTCTGATGTCCCGTCAATAGCTGCGGTAGGGATGATCTTATTCCTTATCATTGGGTTTCTTGAGTTTCCATAAATTGCAAGCAGTTATAGAGATGTGATTTGGCAGTCTGTCTATACTTCAAAATTTGTGAGATTTTTTAACTGTATTTAATTGTAGGTGGTTAACTCCAGGCAGTGGCCCTCCATTTACCGCTATAGGGCATCTGTCCGGACACAGTCACCCCGGGTTGAAATGATAGATTCACTATTCAAACGAGTGTCTGACCGGGTGGATGGAGGTGTTATGAGGTACGTTTCAATCTTAAAGTTATTTGACTAAAGAGGGACAAGTATTGGCCAATAAAAGGGACAAGTTATTTGTTGAAAATTTATTTTTTATATCCTCATTATTGTTTCTCTCTTCTTGCTTGGGGCGTCAATGGCGGTGGGTTGTAATAAGAAAGTTGTGTAATATGTTATTCTGCTGGTAATCATTTATGTCTGTAGTATTTTAATTTTTGGGAATATAATGTTTCGAGTTTGTGTACCTAATGTATTTTCTTTGACATCAGGGAGGCTGTCTTTGACTTTTTTAGAAGCTCACGACAGAAGCCTCTTCAAATCATCATATTCAGGTTTCTTATTTTACATTTTGCTGTTTCTCACGTTCATTCTATATAACAAAAATATTCTAAATCATACATTTTTAGGGAACTCAGGGATGCAAAATTTGGTTTTCCTGCTTCTTAATTGCCACAGCTTCATCTCTGCTTTGCAAACTCTATTTGTATTGATTTCTAACTTCTAACTAATGGGTGTATTTATTCTTTTAAATCATCTGTTTTACATGTGAAATGCTGTCTTGATATTCAAGTATATTTGATCTGCTCAGTCTCTTCATGCTGCTTACGGAATGTACAAGTTGTCCTTTGAACTTTTAATCAACCTAGCATGTTCCTTTCTGCCTGCTGTCTAAAATGCTTCAGAACATTCTCATTTTTTAGCCTCTTCCATTATTCTCATTTTCTGCTCTGGCTATATGACTTAAAATGTTGTGAATCCCCCCCCCCCCCACCCCCCAAAAGCCCTAACTAACATTTACATTTCTGTTTTGTATAGTTGGGTTCTATGAATGTAATTAATACCTGCTATGCAAAACTTTTTTTTTATGTTACAATGCTGTGAATTTTTATCATGCTATTGCAGGTTTTATGGTACTTGGTTAATCTTTACGTCATTTATGTCCTTTTTTGACAATTTTCTTTTTCAAATTTTGTTTTATCTTCTTATGAACCATCATATCTCTTTACATACTTCTTGTAAGCTAGTTTGTGGTTATTGTGCTGATGTTTCTTTTACCTTTTATTGAGATGCTTATGCATGCTTACTTGCTCATTATTCTTGGTTCAACTCAGGGACGGGGTCAGTGAGTCACAGTTCAATCAAGTTTTGAACATTGAACTGGAACAAATTGTTGAGGTATGCAGTAGTGACTTTCAATCATGGGAACTGAAAATTGTACATTTCTATTTGAGTTATTCATGCAAAATAGGTACGAAAATTGTGCTAGTTATAAATCAGTCATTAAGATGATAGTGCTTGGGATAAAACATCTCTCGTTAACGTTTCTACTTTATAGGCTTGCAAGATTCTTGATGAGAATTGGAACCCCAGGTTTGTGGTCATCGTAGCACAAAAAAATCATCGTACAAGGTTTTTCCAGCAGGGATCTCCAGATAATGTTCTGCCTGGTGAGGCTCACTCCTTATTTGATGCGTGTCATCTGGTACCTCTGTTATAGTTGTTAAAATCGATCCTTTTTTTATTGTTTTGCAGGAACCGTGATAGACAACACAGTTTGTCATCCACAGAACAATGACTTTTATCTATGTGCACATGCCGGAATGATTGTAAGTTTTTCTAGAATTTTGTTTCAGTTGATTAATGGTTGTTGATTTTGCAATTTTGTCTCACTTAATTGGTCAAGATATTGCCAACTACATTTGTACTTGCCTTCTCTATCCAGAATTCATTGTTTGTATTTTAAGGCTGTCATGCATGTTTTGTTGTGAAAGAAAATGCACGACTGAAATTGAAGTTCCTCTTACGGTGGTTGGTTTCCTCATCCAAGTTGTGCTCGACGCTTTTGCTGTGTCTTATGGGTATAGCCCTTCATCTTTTATTGTAACGTTGGTTTGTTTGTATAATTTGTATTTGCTGTTCAGGGAACCACAAGGCCTACCCATTATCATGTTCTCTTAGATGAAATCGGATTTTCAGCTGACGAACTGCAAGAACTTGTCCATTCTCTATCATATACGTAAGCTTATAATCATGTGTTGTAATTACTTCACAAATGTTTTAAGTTGTAGTCACGGTTGCATTCCTTGTAATCTCTTTCTAATGCAGGAATCAAAGAAGTACCACTGCCATATCTGTAGGTAAGTATTCTGGTTGAGATGCTTCCCTAGTGTTTGTGATATGCTTTTTCTCAAATGCCAAATTCATTTGGTTTACCTAATTATTTTCCCACTTGATCTCCATATAATAGTTTGTCGTTTTTTGCTTGATTCTGTATTTCTATTTCTTAAAGGTGTTTGTTTCTAATCTTTGGATTGCAGTTGCTCCTATTTGGTATGCGCATTTGGCAGCTTCGCAGTTGGGGACTTTCCTGAAGTTTGATGAGGCTCCTGAGACATCCTCAAGCCATGGTGGGGTGACTGCTCCTGGAGCCATACCTGTTCCGCAACTGCCGTGGTTGAACAAGAATGTCTCCGATTCTATGTTCTTCTGCTGAGACCTTTTGACCATGTTTACTATAGGCTTTTGGTTTTACCAGCAACTGATCTGAAACTCTTTTTAAGTATATTTAAACTTTAGAGTTAGGGCTATCCCAGACTTGTTCTGATGATGATGTGCTGTTCTCTGAATCATCATCCATTTTGGTTATAAACTTTTTGGATGCTTGGCCCCCAACGTATCTAAAGATATGAATGCTTGACTAGGTAATTCACAGTGGCTTTTTCCTGTTTGGTTTAGAGAAGTGGTTATACTACTGCCCGTTACTCCGTTCTCTTATTTACCGTTAGGCTTGGGTGTCAGTTAACCAGTTAGATGTGGCTTCTGAGTAACTACTTTTGTTTCTTTCTGATGCTTAGAAAACTTTACCATTTCGATATTACTTCTCTATTATATAATGTAATACTTTTCTGTGGCAAGAATGAGTTATATTTCTAGCTTATTTAACTTTTCAGGAAAGAGTTTGTTGGTTTTGGTAGGAAAAAAAGTAGCATACAAAAATATATAGACAATACTTCCTGTTAAAAACGAATCTCCACTGTTTCATGTAGCAAAGAAAAAAGAAACACCAATATTTCAAAGGAGTATCCATTTCAAAACGATGGCAACCATGACAAGCACGATCAACTTTCCAGAATTGTTTGTTGCTCTTTTAGGAATATAGATTGCTTAAATTTATGATGTTAAACTTGTTTAAATATTAGAACTAAGCTGACTTTCATGGTTTGTCCCAAAAAAAAAATGATTATTTTAAATATTTTTAGTATTTCAATGCTTAGAGAGAGCAAAGTTTTAAATTTGTTGAGCTTTTACTTATTTTAGTGTGTGGATAATTTAAATGTTTTATGTCAAATTTATACCATTGGTAGAACTATGTTGTCTTATTTGATTTGTTGTTAAACTTGGGTGAATTTATCGCTTTTTGGAACTTTTAATGATTATAAAAGGTAAATTCTCAATCATGTACAGTTATTCCTTATTTAAGCACAGTGATAGCTTAGGTTTGCGATATTAATTTTGCTTAAATATTAAAACAATTCTCGTTTGCTTCGTTAGTCAAAATATTTTGTAATTTAAGTCTTTTTAAGCATTCCTTATGCTTTAAAAATTTTAAACCAAGTTCTTTGCTCTCTCTGTTTTAGGTATGTAGACAACTTAAACTTGATATATTAAACTTACTCAAATATTAAATAAGGATATGAGTTTTTTTTTTTTTTTCACTGTCATTCTTAAAATTATTAGTTATAAAAATCATTTATTGGTTGAATTACAAGAAAAATTTTTATTGGTAGAGTTTGGTAAAGTGAAATTTTGCATTTTTTTTTATTAAATATTTATGCTTTTTTTTTTTGTCAAATTTGATTTATAAGTTGACTTTCTTTTCTACACTTTTTACGACATTAAATGATAAATTCTCAAGCATATCCAGTTATTACTCATTTTTAAACATGTGTTATTTCTGCATTTTTTTTATTAATTATCTCTGTTTTTTTATGATAATTATTAATGCCATCTAAATAAGTTTAGATCTTTTATGGTAAGATAAAAATTTTATTACATTGAATCTCTGAATGCTTTAAATAATAAAAATTATCGAATTGACTTTGTTGTTAATATAGTTATAATGCATTTGATTGACTAAGACTCAAACCCTAAAGATAAAAATTGTTGAATTGATTTATTGTTAAAAGGATCAATGGGTTGTTGACATTGGTTATGAGCTTTGTCTAGACGATTGCTTTATAATTAACTTTGTGTTATAGTTTTAAGGTTCATTTTTTTTTAACAAATATTTTGGATACGAGAAAGGTGTCAAAAGACACTCCGATGTCTTGTAGCAAAGATTTTAGGTGTTGAAATATAGAATGAGGACATAAAAATTACTTAATTTATTAAGCAATTGACGAATGATTTAAATAATTCTATGATAACTTTTCTTCTTAAACATATTGAACCTAATTTATGTTTGCTATTCCATCAATCTTGACCTTAGCCTAAAAATTTTTTTATATGCATATTGAATATATATCCTACAACTTATAGTATTATTATAGACAAAAATTACAAAGGGTCATATACATTAGCAAAAAAAAAAAATGTAAATCAACTTGCATTCTTATTACATTTTGTATATATTACATTTTTTTAAAACATAAATATTTCTACTTTCACAACGCAATGCTGGTTGAACGCAAGTTAACATATAATGCAAATAACTATCATAATAAGCTTTAGTTTTTAGAAAAATCTTGTTGATCGGTGTTTTCATTTTTATGTTATTTATTCATCATTTTAATTTTTTATTTTGTATTAAAAAATAAAAAATAAAAGCACGAACAAAATGAAATTAAAAGAAAAACAAAAAAATCAAATCACAAGCAATTCACCTAATTTATTTTAATTGGATTTGTTGAAACATCTCTTTCACAGTGCTACTAATAATCTATTTAAATCCTTTCACCAATTTTTAAACGTATATCACTTTATTTTACCGATTTTGAAGAAATGCAACATCTAATATTATAATTATAAGTCTAACTTTTACACTGCCAGTATTAGAAAAAAATGGTGAATTAAGAGTTGAAAATTATAAATATTTTGATTTTGATAATTGTATTTGATAAAGATAACTACAAGAAAAATATTGTCTACCAAAACAAGAATTTATGAAAATTAAATTACTACTACTATTAAAAAAAAATTATTTTAGGATAAAACCATTTATGGATAGACAAAAAAGTTTCAACATTTTTTTGTGAAAAAAAAATTTAATTATTGAATTGAAAGTGGTTGATAAAATATTTAAAATCTAATATCATAAAAAATCTACTCTTATAAAAAGCTATATAATTACTCCGTATATCTAATTTTAGATATCTTAATCTATTCACACATGTCATGCATAATCAAATTATTGTTATATTCGTAAGTACATGATCTCCGCACTATTTTCTTTTTCGTTTTCCATTTCCTTTTATCCAAATTACCCTTCTCCACCCAACTCAATTTTTTTTATCATTCAACACACCTCATTGTTTTAAACAGACAAAGCCATGATTTTGAGATTTCAATTAAACTTAGAATCGTCAAATCAAAAATTAATAAAAATTAATATCGTTTTTGCAAAAACCGAATATCCATGATTAAAGTAGTGACATAATCATTTTTGCGCTGCAAATATACGTATTTTTGAACAGTTAAAAAAAAGGGTATGATCTTATGCAATCTCACATTCTATCACGATCAAATCAAAGCCGTCCAATGCTTTGATCTAAAGGTGTAATTTAAGACCCGTTCCCTTCATTACGTTCAAAATCATTGATGACACTAAAACTTTCATAGTCACCTGTTGCAAATCGAGGGCAATTGATGACATTTTAAAGATGTAATTTTGAAATAATTAATTGAATGAAATAAAATTAAAAATAAAATTAAGAGTAATTTATGTTTAGTAATAAAAATAGTTCTATGTATAATGTGTTTTTAACGTATTCGACAAAAAAAAAAAGAGAGATTTTGAAATAAAATAACAATAATAATGAAATTAATTCGATTTGATTTGATTTGATAAATTAAATTTTAGTTTATATGATCATTTATTGATATTATTAAAATCCACATATTAAATGTACATGCATACATAACTTAAAAAGGTAGAGCCAATAAATGTTTTTTTTTTGTTTTCTATTTATGTTATTTATTTACTTTTAATCTTGTTTATTTATTTTTATAGAAAATAAAAAGATTTATCAAACATAATCTTAACTAATGGAGTATCTTATTTTTGTCAAAAACATAATCTTAACCATTTGTGATAGAGATTAATTAGTTAAAAGTAATTACAGGAAAAAAATGAATTTCATGTGGAAAAAGAAAGTTTGGGTGTGGTCCAAGTGACTTTATGTTTTGGGTTTGACTAAATTAATTAATTTTGTCATCGTGCTTGCGTACAAAATGTGCAACTAATAAAGTCAGATTGACACAGACAATCCCCTGTCACAGTCAGTCCATTTTCATTTTTAGTTCATGAAAAACCCCTAAATTGCATTTTGAATGGGTCAAAAAACCCAAATCAAATCACGTCTTAAGTCTTAATTCAAGTCCAAAGTAAAGCATTTCAAGGCTACATTTTATTGCGTGACAAAATTTAAAATAATAATAATAATTATTATAATTATAATTAAAAAAATTATTATAATTTTAATAAAAAGTTTATGTAAAATAAAATTTATTAAAATTAATAATTAAATTTAATTGATGATATAATCAATTTATTCATACTGCATAAAAAATACAGTGAAATTCAAATGTAATTAAAATTGATCAATTAACATTGACAAATTTTTAAACAAATGAGTCATTAGGAATAAAATTTTAAGATTATAATTTTAGATTTAGATTTTAAAATTTTTTAATATTATTTTTTAAAAATAATTGAATTAATAAATTCCATTAAATTTTAATTTTTTAAAGATTTCATATTGGAACATCAAAATTAAAGAAAATACCATATAGATATTATATTCAATCCTAATTTTTTGGCAGTTAAACATAAACCTTATTTGTTATTGGATTAGATTTAATTGAGGAATCTGACCAGCTCCACAATATTGATTTTACATGCAAGGTGGGCCTTAACTTTGAATATGTTCCACTCTTTTTCCATGCTTAAGTTATGGTTATGATGAACCCACAAAAGCAAAAGAGTTGAAAGTACTTGACCTTACTTTTCCTTAGGGTCATACATGAAAATGAAATAATCACTGTAAATTAATCGATAATATAATAGTTAATTATATAAAATAATATTTAATTATAAATATAATTTTAAAAAATTTATATAATTTTATTACTGCATGATAATAGTAAAATAATGTAAAAAAAAACTCTTAAGATCGTTTAAAAATAAAATTAAATTGAGACTAAACCAAAAAAACATCTTTAATCATATTAAAAAAATGTAAAATTCACTACTACTTTATATATAGTGGAATAATAATGGCAGGAATGGTAAAACAAAGGGGCCTATTCATAATTAGGAGAAGAATCTAGGGAAGAAAATGAAGACAGTAAGGATCAAATTAGCTTCAACTTGGGACAAAATCATAGACTTTTATGGGAAAATTTTCATTATTTATCGTACACTTGGAAACAACTGTATTCAAATAGCAAATGCCCGATCTCATTGGAATCTAGGACTAGAAAGTAAACCAATAAATCATGATAGTAATAATTAGGAATTGTCGCAAGACACTCCTTCAATAGTTCAATTACTATGTATGTTTGAATTATAAAAAAGGGAATTAGAGACAAAATTTTATGTGTCAATTAAGGAAAATATTTTTTACATTTATTTGAGATTGTCATAATTAAATATTAATTATCGAAATTAAAATTTTAACCTTCATTGATTGATTTGTGGATTAATTGACATTAGATTTTTGTGAACATTTGAAAGTCGTAAATTCAAAAAAATTTATGTATATAATATTTTCTTCAATCAAATTAATTAAAAAAAAAAACTAATGAAAGAAAGGGCATTTGTTTTTATTTTTTTTAGTGAGCCCATTTTAATTGATCCAGAGATAATTCAACCTGGAAACATTTCATTTTGATCCACAATACTATAAAGTTCACAAGGAAGCCCAACTTTACGTGGGTTAATAGTTTGGAAGGTTTATGCACTGAGGTTCAACAATACTATTTTGGCAGAGTCTTCGGACCTAAGGCAAATCCTACTCGTTGTTGGGTTTCTCTATCTCAAATCCCAACCAAGAAATCTTGCAAACCTTATATTTGAAAGAATTATTATTTCTGTGAATGAAATCAAATTACATTATTATTATTATTATTTACATTTAATAATGAGTTTGTTATTCTTAAACATTTGACTCAATCGTTGATGCATTGATGCACGATATTTTTATCGAGAAAATATGTTCAAAATTTCTTTCCATTAATAAAAAAGAGTTGATAAGTGTCTCAAACCCATTAGACATCTTAATTAGATCAAATGGTTAATCAATATTTGAACTTAGTAAATATATAATTTTTTAATTTAAAATTTAATTCAATTAATTTATATAATTATAATTAAGAAATATCCATTAAATTTAAAATTTAAATATTAATATTTACAACACCTTTCACTAACCCTATATTTCGACCTATTTTGTAAAAAAAAAAAAAACTTTTAACAATATGTTTAAGTAAAACTTTTTTTAATGGATTAAGTTAACCTTAGTAAATGTGTATAAATAACCAAATATTGACATGAGAAAATTATAAAACCAGCTTCTCTAGTAAAAGTGCTCCTTTTAACTCATTTATCGCATTTAAAAACAGGAGTGTGAGAAACATTAGTGACTCTTTTATATATTTGATAAGGATTAAGACGCAATTATTAAGCATTTAAAAAAATTTTGAATAATTCATTACGTAATTTTTTAAAGATTCCTAAAGCAAAAATTGATGCTATTGAAATTTGGTTAAGCTGTGAAATAGGTAACATTTAAACCTATTTATATGTATATACTATGGGTTTTATGTTTTATAAAAAAAATTAAAATAGAGATTGAAATGGGATATTAAAAATCTGTGGGTAAAATCTAAATCTAATTTTTTGTGTAACGTTATAGTGTGGTAGCAGCATGAGTTTTATGCAAGTGTTTTATTGTGATAGAAGCATGAGTTTTACCCATGTGTCATCGAAATCACATCACGGTTATATCCATAACTATGTGGTCTTCATATTATTTTCCTTTTCATTTTAATTTTCCTTTTATCGAAATTACCCTTTTTTACCCAACCCAGTTTCCTCGTCATTTAACACACCCTGCGATTTAAAGAGGATAAATCCGTAATTTTGAGATTTCAACTAATTTACAACCGTCAAATTGGAAAGTAATAAAAATTAATATTCTTTCTAAAAAATCGAATTTTCGTAATTGAGGTAGTGACATAACTGTTATGGCACCCAAATGCGTGTGCTTCAGTGCCTGGGCAATTAAAAAGTAGAGTAATGATCCAATGCAATCTCACCTTCCATCATGATCAAATCAAAGATGTCCAGTTCCTTCATTCGTTCAAAAATCATTGATGACATTGAAACTTTCGTAGTTTGTTGAATTCTATGCATATAAATCTATTATTTGAGCCCGCTTAGCTCGGAGGTTAAATGCGATGATCATTGGTTCGATTCTAATAGATGGTTTTCTATATTTGTTTGCTTTTTTATTTTTTTACATAATTAATAATATATATTTTTTTGAAATCAAAGAAAATTAAAAATGCTTTTTCGCCTCGCGGATCTTCCTATTATAAGGAAGCCTATAAAAGTGAGAATGAGAAGGGGGAAGGGAAATCCTATAGGTTGGATTGCTTGTGTGTCCATGGGACAAATCCCATTTGAAATGGATGGTGTGAATTTGTTAAATGCTCTGAGGCAATTGCTAACATTCTAAGGATGTAATTTTTGAATAATTAGTTGATTGAAATAAAATAAAAAATAAAAATAAAAGTAATTTATGTTTGAAAATATAAATAGTTTTTAAGTATAATGTGTATTTAATGTGTTTGAAAAAAAAAAGAGAGAAGTTTTAAAATTAGAATAATAATAATGAAGTTAATTTGTTTTGATAAATTTAATTTAATTTAATTTAAATTTATTTGATCATCTATTAATAATTTTAAAATCCACATATTATATGTATATGCATACATAATTTAAAAGGTAGAGCTAATAGATTATGTTTTAATAAGTTGGAAAGTGTATATATTTTTAATAAATGTAATTCAAGAGTTAAATATTTATAAAGGAAAAAAGAGTTAAAATTATTTTATTTATTAATAATGGGAATCAACGTTGTATTATTTTTATATGAAATTTAATTAAGAGTAATTTAAGATAAATAATAAAAAAAAAACATAATCAATTTATTTTTGAATTAAAAATGCATCAAATAAAATAAAATTCATTTCTTGTATTACACAAGATAATTTTTTAAGATTATACACTTGTAAATAATATAAGTCATTCATATCGAATATTTTATTTTTTTCAAAAACTTTAATTTTTATATATTTGTATAAATAATTAATTATGCCAATTAACAAAATTTTCAAGAAATAATTATTGCCATGCCACTATAATATGGTAAAACTAATTTGTCTTGGTTGAAAGTTATTATTTTAGATAAGTTTTGGCTTACTTTAATAAAAAAAAAAAAGTAGTTGCTTTTTATTAAACATATTTAGTACCATTTCCGTATCATAGATTTATATACTTAGTCTATATTTAATACACAGATTTTATATTTTATCTGTAAATGATAAGAAAAGATCATTTCATTAATAAGCAAATATCTATTTTTAAAATAAATATATGAAATTTAATATTTTAATAAAATTACATATTAATGAGGGGATATCATCTGATTTATTTCTTTAATAAGATTATATAATTCATTCATAGTATATAAAATTTATACATTATAATCAAATAAAATATAAACCCTTAAATAATTATAGAAAAAAATCTCAATCATTCAAAAACGAGAAAGGAGATTTGTATTTGACAGTCTCCTTGAGTTTTAGGGTTTCTATCTTTCATTTGCTCTCCAAATTTCAGGTATTTTTTTTCTGTGAAACCTGTTTGGTTGCAGTGTTTTTGTCTCGTGTTTTTCTTCGTTGGACTTTTTTTTACTGGTTTTTTGATGTATTTTTGAAAGGTCCTTTGTTTTTGATGTATTTTTGATGGTTTTTTACTTGCTTTTGGACTTTGCAATGCTGCTTCAATGGGTGGCTTTTTTCAAGGATTTTCTTCTTTTTTGAGTATGATCTGATCTTCGTTGCCATTTTTTTGTTTCTAGTTTTTCAATAAACACTTCAAGTTTGCAACTTTTTTGCTGTTTTTTTTTTTTTTTTTTTCTATTTTTAAAGACTGTAGTTTTTCGTCAGTGTAGAGCATATTTCTATTTTGAAAGATGTATACCTTTCGTAACCTTTGTTATTTTATTTTATTATTCAGTTCTTTTATAGTAAAAAAGGTTTCTTTTTTGTCATCTTGTAATCAAGCCATTTAGAAAGTTGTTACATTTTTGCTTCAGTTGGGATTTTTAACTCCGTTTACAAGTTTTTTGTCGCTTCATGTACTCTTTCTCTGCAGTTATAGTCTTTTACTGTCTCTTGATGTGCTAAAGGTATTTACGTTTCGGTATTTTTTCCTTCTATCCCTTAATGATGCAATATATTTGGTTAAAGTTTTGGCTTTTATGCTAAAAACAGCACCTTTTTGCCTCTTCATGTTAACCATTTTAGTGCACAGCAGCATTAGTGCCTCTGGGTTCAAGCTCATATTCTTAAAGGTTCCCTTTTTTTTTTTTGGTACTCTAAGGGTTTCTTTTACTTTTCTTTTTTTTTTTTTTCCTTTGTGCTTATTTCTCTATTTTTTTTTCTTGTGTAAGTTCCAGCATTCATCAACATACGCTTTATTTATTTATTTTTTTGCTACAGATCCTCTGATTTTTAGGTAATATTTGCATCCTTTGTAAACACGTCTTTCATTTGCATCCATGTGGTTTCTTAAGCATTTTGTTAGGAAAAAAAAAATCTCATTTTTAAATATTATATAGTTTTGGTGCCTTGACTTTGTTTCTTTTTTGGCGTATGAGCATATTGACTTTGTTTCCCTTTGTGGCGTATGAGTATATTGCCAGAAAAAAAAATTGTATAGATGGATGAGTTTCAAGATTGTGATATGCCAAGGTTAATTGCTTTTAGTCTTTTCGTTTTTGTTGAAAATAAATAATTTATCAAGTTAAAAGTATGAATTACTTTTTTCTGCACGAAATGGTTATAGCTAATCTTTTTCTGCGTGAAATGATACTATTACGTACCTACTTTTTAGGGAATTTGTGTTGTAGCTAATAGTATTTTTATTTTCTTTCACGTAAGAAAAATTTTCTTGGTTGGGATATGGACTCGTCTGAGAAAGAGGGAAGTGGGGCAACGGGCTCTCTTCCCCCTCCCCCGCCTCTGCCCCCCAATGTGGTACCAATCAAAGCAGAATCTGAGCCTGCAAAGGAGGTTTCACGTGTCCCAATGGCCGGGAAAGGTCTTGGATCCCATATAATAGTTTGTCGTTTTTTGCTTGATTCTGTATTTCTATTTCTTAAAGGTGTTTGTTTCTAATCTTACTTTGGATTGCACTTGCTCCTATTTGGTATGCGCATTTGGCAGCTTCGCAGTTGGGGACTTTCCTGAAGTTTGATGAGGCTCCTGAGACATCCTCAAGCCGTAGTGGGGCGACTGCTCCTGAGACATCCTCAAGCCGTGGTGGGGTGACTGCTCCTGGAGCCACACCTGTTCGGCAGCTGCCGTGGTTGAACAGGACTGTCGCCGATTCTATGTTCTTCTGCTGAGACCTTCGGACCATGCTTTCTATAGGCTTTTGGTTTTACCACCAACTGATCTGAAACTCTTTTAAGTATATTTAAACTTTAGAGGTAGGGCTATCCCAGACTTGTTCTGATGATGATGTGCTGTTCTCTGAATCATCATCCATTTTGGTTATAAACTTTTTGGATGCTTGGCCCCCACCGTATCTAAAGATATGAATGCTTGACTGGGTAATTCACAGTGGCTTTTTCCTGTTTGGTTTAGAGAAGTGGTTATACTACTGCCCTTTACTCTGTTCTCTTATTTACCGTTAGGCTTGGGTATCAGTTAACCAGTTAGATGTGGCTTCCGAGTAACTACTTTTGTTGGTTTCTGATGCTTAGAAAACTATACCATTTCGTTATTACTTCCCTATTATATAACGTAATGCTTTTCCAAGTCGCTGGTAAATCAAAATTGGAATTGGCCCAATTAACCGAATTAGAAGCCTTTGCGCAATTTGCTTCTGATCTCGATAAAGCTACTCAGAATCGATTGGCAAGAGGTCAACGATTACGTGAGTTGCGAGAATGAGTTATATTTCTAGCTTATTTAACTTTTCAGGAAAGAGTTTGTTCGTTTTGGGTATATATACTACTGCCCTTTACTCTGTTCTCTTGTTTACTGTTAGGCTTGGTTATCAGTTACTTAACCAGTTAGATGTGGCTTCTGAGTAACTACTTTTGTTGGTTTCTGATGCTTAGAAAACTATACCATTTCGTTATTACTTCTCTATTATATAATGTAATGCTTTTCTGTGGCAAGAATGAGTTATATTTCTAGCTTATTTAACTTTTCCGGAAATAGTTTGTTGGTTTTGGTAGGAAAAAAAATAGCATACAAAAATTTATCGACAATACTCCCTCTTAAAAACGAATCTCTACTGTTTCACGTAGCAAAGAAAAAAGAAACACCAATATTTCAAAGGAGTCTCCATTTCAAAACGATGGCAACCATAACAAGCAGGATCAACTTTCCAGAATTGTCTGTTGCTCATTTAGGAACATAGATTATTTAAATTTATGTTGTTAAACTTGTTTAAATTTTAGAACTAGGCTGCCTTTCATGGTTTGTCAAAAAAAATGGTGATTTTGGATATTTTTAGTATTTTCAATGCTTAGAGAGAGTATACTTTTAAATTTGTTCAGTTTTGACTTATTTAGTGTGTAGATAGTTTAAAATTTTCATGGTCAAATTTATCTCACGGGTTAGAATTATGTTGTCTTACTTGATTTGTTATTAACTTGATGAATTTATCGCTTTTTGGAACTTTTAATGACTATCAAGGTGTAAATTCTCAAGCATTTGTAGTTGTTCTTATTTATGCACATTGATAGCTTAGGTTTATGATATTAATTTTGCTTAAATATTATAACAATTCTCACTCGTTTCGCTTGTCGAAAATTTTTGTGATTTGAGTCCTTTAAGCATTCTTTATGCCTTAAAAATTTTAAACACAAGTTCTTTGCTCTCTCTCTCTTTTAAGTATGTAGACAACTTAAACTTGATATATTAAACTTACTCAAATGTTAAATAAGGTTATGAGTTTATTTTATCACTATCATTCTTAAAATTTTAGTTATTAGAGTCGATTATTGGTGAATTACAGAAGAATTTTTATTGGTTGAGTTTGGTAAAGGAGATTTGTATATATTACATATTTTTAAAGCATTAATATTTCTACTCCCTATTGACACCCAATTTTATCCGAGATGAATGAATTTCGATTGATTTTTCAGCCTAGTTGCACATTTTAATTTAAACTTATTTTAACATTTTAATCAAAATTTCATATTGGGCTTTGGTGGGCTTTATCTTAGGATTATTTTTCCTTAGGGATTTGTTTTATTTGGGCTTGAAACCAATTTTGAATTATGGTTAAAGGATTTTCTGCCTCTTTTTTCATAGTAAAAAGGCATGAGCAAATAAACACAAAAAGAAAGTTTTAGCAAACATATTTATGAAACATTTCTCGCCCTTTTTGTTTTAACTTTTTTATACTAAATATCAAAACTCCTATACCAATAGCTATAAACATACAAAAAAAAATATTTATAAACTTCCTATTTCTTATTATTGTAAAAGAAAGAAAGGTCAATTCAATGCATATGATAAAATGCTTGATACCAATAACATCACGAGTATTTTTGAACTAATTTTTGTGTAACGTTATAGTGTGTAGCAGCATGAGTTTTATGCAAGTGTTTTATGCGATAGAAGCACGAGTTTTAACCCATGTGTCATCGAAATCACATCACGGTTAGTATCCATAACTATGTGGTCTTCATATTATTTTCCTTTTCATTTTAATTTTCCTTTTATCGAAATTACCCTTTTTACCCAACCCAGTTTCCTCGTCATTTAACACACCCTGCGATTTAAAGAGGACAAATCCGTAATTTTGAGATTTCAACTAATTATAAACCGTCAAATTGGAAAAGTAATAAAATAATATTCTTTCTAAAAAATCGAATTTTCGTAACTGAGGTAGTGACATAACTGTTCTGGCACCCAAATGCGTGTGCTTCAGTGCCTGGGCAATTAAAAAGTAGAGTAATGATCCAATGCAATCTCACCTTCCATCATGATCAAATCAAGATGTCCAATTCCTTCATTCGTTCAAAATTCATCGATGACATTTGAAACTTTCGTAGTTTGTTGAATTCTATGCATATAAATCTATTATTTGAGCCCGTTTAGCTCAGAGGTTAAATGCGATAATCATTGGTTCGATTCTAATAGATGGCTTTCTATATTTGTTGCTTTTTATTTTTTACATAATTGATAATATATATTTTTTTGAAATCAAAGAAAATTGAAAAATGCTTTTTCGTCCTCGCGGATCTTCCTATTATAAGGAAGCCTATAGAAGTGAGAATGAGAAGGGGAAGGGAAATCCTATAGGTTGGGATTGCTTGTGTGTCCATGGACAATCCCATTTGAAATGGATGGTGTGAATTTGTTAAATGCTCTGAGGCAATTGCTAACATTCTAAGGATGTAATTTTTGAATAATTAGTTGATTGAAATAAAATAAAAAATAAAAATAAAAGTAATTTATGTTGATAATATAAATAGTTTTAAGTATAAATGTGATATTAATGTGTTGAAAAAAAAAAAAAGAGAGAAGTTTTAAAATTAGAATAATAATAATGAAGTTAATTTGTTTTGATAAATTTAATTTAATTTAATTTAAATTTATTTGATCATCTATTAATAATTTTAAAAATCCACATATTATATGTATATGCATACATAATTTAAAAGGTAGAGCTAATAGATTATATTTTTATAAGTTGGAAAGTGTATATATTTTTAATAAATGTAATTCAAGAGTTAAATATTTATAAAGGAAAAAAGAGTTAAAATTATTTTATTTATTAATAATGGGAATCAACGTTGTATTATTTTTATATGAAATTTAATTAAGAGTAATTTAAGATAAATAATAATAATAAAAACACAATCAATTTATTTTGAAATTAAAAAAATGCATCAAATAAAATAAAATTCATTTCTGTATTACACAAGATATTTTTAAGATTATACACTTGTAAATAATATAAGTCATATCATATTCGAATATTTTATTTTTTTTAAAACCTTAATTTTTATATATTTGTATAAATAATT